GAGTTTCCGCGTAACGGGAGCACAAAACGAGGTTGAAAAGGGTCTGCGGACGCGACGGAGAGAGACCACGGAAGAAAATCCTGTTTCCTTGACGATTATTGTTTGTTTTGCTCGGGTTTCGACTTTCGAAATACTTTGTACCTTCGTTTTCTACTCTTTTTATTCAGTGATGTCAGGAATCTTGGAATGATTTCTAAAATATAAAGTTAATCTAATTGTAGTCGTACAACAGGGACATATTTTTATCCTTCCTTGTTCGAATAATGAGAATTCTGATTATACAGTGGAATAATATATCATTGCGATTGTTCAGGGATTGTAGCTTATCATTCCTGGTTAATACCTATGTGAGCAATAATATATTTGCAGGAACGTTGCAGGCGTGTATGAAGTTTTTAATTGGATACGACTTCTCCTCTCTCTTTACACGAGGCTCTCTTCAGGAATTAACATATAAATAGTAAATAAATTCGGAAAAATGCATAAATATAAATGAAGAGAATAATTCCATTGCTTGGCCCAAAAGAATTATTAGATGTTGTCTTTCCAAGCATTTTATTAAATTTTTACCATCAAATTATTCAGTGTGTCTTTCAACCCCTTTAAAATTTCTAGTAATCCAGACTTCTCTTTAATAAAATACTTGAAAACCCAACATCCAATAATCATAATTATTACAATAATAATTCAACGTCGAACAAGTGGAATCTGCCCCACGGTTCTTTTTCAAAGTCTGTCGTTGAAATAAGATTCCACCCTTCTTCTCCGTTCCACAGTTTCACGCGAATCGTTGAGTACTTTTCCTGTAACTTTTATCTACTCACGGTTCTTTAACTTCTTCCGTGAACTCCTTTCAATTGTATTCGACCTTTTTACCGCCGCCACTCGTCTTCGTTTTATCGTTTCATTTAAGTCGAGGGTAAACAAGCGCGTTTAAAATCCTTCACGGTGGAGTACCGGGGATTTCTTAAGCGGGTGAAATTTTTCCGCGGCTTAATTCATTAATTTCTCGCAGCGACAGCGCACTCCTCGTCGACTTCCTGTTGCTTCCTTTTGCCTCTGGCCGACTTATCGCCACGAGGCAACTTTCCTTGGCACGTTCGCGGTTTTGGCTCGGCTTAGTTGATTCCGCGACAACGCCTGACCCGAATCCGTGACGCACTTCTACCCCCGCTGCTCGTTGGAACCCTTCTCTGATTGCAATTTCGTTATTCCAGGGTCTCTTCGCAATTTTTCCACTGCTATCTTTCGTTTTTGTTATCACGGGATGAAGTAGATGAATGGAACTCGAATAAATGATTCTTTTAAAACGGTTAAGCGAATTTTTCTCGACGAAACTTTTTAAATCATTTAAATGACATTTTTTTTCACGTGTTAAATTATATTTTCGTTAGTTTCGTTAGTTGTGATCCTCTCACTTTAAGAACTCGCGAGACACAATTTTTCCTTGAAATACCCTTTGAAAGAGTATATATCGCGAGTATACTTCCAAAATATCACGAACTAGCTCGCGAGCTCTTAACGAACAAACTCTGTAAACGTTCGAATCACACAATTTCACGTTGGAAATGCCTGTACCACCAATATACTCCCAAAACATCGCAAAATATTTGTTCGATCGATCCCGGCATCCACTTAGCTTCGGTGTACCAGTGTCTTTGCCACGACATGGCGGCGAGTTGAAAGATCTCGCAGTTAACAAAATCCCTGAGCTCCCTTTGACGTGGTCGAACGGAACGGAACGGAACAGAGCTTTTGTCGAATCTCGGCGTAGAGGAGGCGAGGGAAACGGCGGGACAAGAGCGAAAACGACGACACGCGGAACGCAGGCCGCCCGAGAGCGTGTAATTAAGTGCGTGGCAATAATGAAACGCATCATCCCCCCTTCGCTTAAGAAATAACAGCCCTCCGGGGACCCCAAGGGGATGGTCCTTTGAGGAACCAGCAATCCGAGCTGTGACTTCTAACGAGCTTTCTCACGATGCTTGCTAGGCGATCAATTAACGAGGAAATCTGCCCGCCTGCTAATTACCAGGCTCTAATTCGGTCTAACACTCGGATGGGGCTTTACTGAGAGAATCCTGTCCATATTAATCGAGAAAACGATCGATTTAACCTCTTCGGTTGGGAACAATGGTGCGTGTTCCCCTAGTATTTTTGAAACATTTAAAATAGAAATAGAATTTCTACAGCGATGTTAGCGTCCAGTAATTTGCATATGCGAAAGAATGTGATGAATATTTTAATAAATATCAAACTTACGGAGAATCCGGTGAATTTTATATTACGAGACTTTGCATATACGGGCTACGAAGAATATTTTTCAAGATATACAGTAATAAATGCTTAATCGAATCTTTTATTAGAAATAAAAACGATGACTATCACTGTCTTTGGAGATATTGGCACATACGCTTCGTGTTATTTCTAATCTCTCACTGCATCGTGCTGATGAGTATTTTTGGGATTGAAGTCGTTAAAAGAATTTTGGCTTAGCGATACAGAGTAATATTAGGTACCTAGAGTATCTTATTTATTTGCCTATTACCATTTATTTGCCTTTACCATGGTTTGCACCATGATGAACGTGTCATAGCTTTTTCTTCTTCAATGTGTCGGAGCAATATTATATCAAATATGTTATATCTTTGCCAATCCCATTTACTGTAATTACCGATCTTATTTCTGGAAGCAGTCTTCGAGATTGCCTTCCTCGAATTTCGCGCACCAACGGTTTATTGGCCCAGGAAAGTGTCGATCTTCTCGACAGTGGATGTTAGGAGTCACAATTTAATCACGTCCATTTATTTGACTGACGATTGCTTGATTATTCAATGTATTTTAATCGGCGATTAACGAGAGCCGTTCGTTAGGATCCTCGCGGAACGGCTCGTGGTTGACAGAATGGAGACAGGAGGCGGTCAGCCATGTCTTAAATATCACCCGAGCTATTTCTATTTCTATTTTCGCGAGGTTACGGGCTGCCGCGTTCGACGACGTATCGATTCGCCATCGGCTGACATTTCTCTTCTTTCCACCCATGAATTTCTCACGACGCCTTCGCGAGCGATCGATAATACTCTGAAATCGTCGTGCAATTATACTTGCTCGAATTCGCGATAACCCAGCTCTATCTTCGAGCCTTGAACAATTATTCACGAATAAATAAATCAACTCTCATCGTGGTAACGATTTTTGCAACTTGTTAGACACTTCCTTGCTTTATTTCCATTGCGAATTTACATTCCGTTGGCTCCTATGTTCTCGTTTTAAAGGAGGGCAGCGTTGAAGTAAATTTTATTCCTGAATAACAAATACATATATCGGGGCTTAACTTCCCCTGGAACTGGAAGTCGCGATGAAAACTACAACGGCGACCATAATTTTCCAAATTACACGGTGGTGGTATAATTTCCTGGTTTCGCCACAAGATTGAGGGCTTTAGGCTGAAAATATGTCTGTTATTGACGCCCGTGCAACAGGGCCCATGGTTAATACAGGTGGCAGATGATTAACAGTTGTAAACGGTTTTTTCCAACTTGGTGTTACGAACACTTGTCGGCTTAAGGGTCAATTTGCAAAAGTCGTTCGATCGCGACAAAATGTAACTTCAAACAAATTTCAACGTTCTGAATTTCACATTGTCACGAGGAAAAAATTCACGGCATTTTCATTCCTAGAACTTTTCCATTTTCCTATAAAAAAAGAATATGTTGAACGGACTTTTCTTTCACATTTCCCATTTTCTCGCTGGCGAACTTGACGTGCAAATAAACTTCTATCGAAACAAGTAGCTAGAGTTTAATCGACGACAAACATCGTCTGTGCAGACACTTTTATGCGACAAACACAGGACAATAGCGTCAGAAATTGTCGCAAACGTGAACGTGGCTTAACCCGTTCGGGTGTTCAGGCGCCACGCTCGCTGATTTATCGATCAATTTATTAATGGGTCAGCTCTCGCGCGTTCGATCATGAATATCGGATGAAGCAGCCAAGGCAGGGGAGCAGGGTTCATAATTACGGTGATTAATGTCTCCAGCAGAATTAATCGCCGGGACGAGGCTTATTTTCGAAATTATTCGCTCGCGGAAAAAATCGAGGAATCGGTCGCTTGTCGTTTTGGAACTTTAGCGTGTAATTTGCTTCGCCCTAATTGCCCCGAGTCCGCGCAACTCTGTTGCCCAGTGTTTGCTGTTAATTATGGGATTGTAAGTGGCATTAATATTTAGACACGGTTCTGGATCGTTGGTGCAGTTGTTTATGCAGTTTATACAATTGTTTATAGTGATAATACATTTTATACAATTTATAAAATTTCTATACTCCATACACTCTATACGATGTTGGTTCTTTTTTTTTTTTTTAAATTACGCAACTATTAACAATTCTTTTGGCTGAATTTTTGGTGACAATTGTTTAATTAAAATGGTCTTCTTTCCCAGTGACCAACTGTGTATCATAATGAGAGTTGAAAATATATTTGAAGACGCCACGTGGGTAAACAAAAACTGTCCGTTTTAATCGTATTGATAGACAAACGTTAATTATTGCATCGTCAGCAAATTTAAGTGACACATATTCCTGATATTAAACTGAATTTCAGCGAAGCTAATTGCTTCTTAATAAATCGCATTACTTTCGCAGAACGGCACTTCGTTTATTCTCGTTTGTGACTGCACTCCGTTTCTCTATTAATAAGTGACAGTACTGGTCGTTTTGCAAACATAAACAATATTCAGAAATGACACAAAGTAAATCCAATTAATTGCAATGAAATTCTTTCACTTTTTATCGATAAATTTTCCTAGCTTTTGATTTCTTCTATTACACATTCACTGATAGGTCAGTCGATATTAAATATCCAATCTCAGGAATATATATGCTTATAATGAATCATTTATTTGGAAACATGAAACCTATAAAAAATCGTGAAAATTGTTAAAAACTGTTTAAATATAGTAGAATGTCCACTAACGTGATCGTTGTTTTGTTTCTAGAAAGCCTCTTTCGCGTGGTCCGAGGGTGGTGATGAGGGTGGCGGAGGAGGTGGCGGTGGAGGAGGAGGAGGCGGTGGTGGTGGCGGTGGTGGGGCTGGGACCGGAACCACGGGCCCTACGGCCGCTGGGGGAGGTGGACTGGCCCACTGGGTCAGCGTGATGGCGGAACACATCCACAATCCCCACTCCGCTACAGGGGTTGGGGGTGTTCATCATCAGCAGCAATCGCCACCTCAACCACCCTATCCGTGGAACAATGGTCTCTCCAGTGATGTGAGTACCTTTACAAATTTCTCAACATTTCGTTTTGTTAATCTTTTACAGGGCTGTGTAATCGAGATTCAAAGTTTTTCTTTCTTTAATTTTTGGCTTTATGGCTTTTTTTAACAAAAAATTGGATATATTCCACCCCATTTATAACCGATACACCGATAAAACTCTAAAGCCCCTATATATTTGAACATAACATATAAATCCGATACATTTAATGAACGGAATAATACCTAGAAACGCATATAATCACTATATATACATAGGGTGCTCAGAAGGAGGTAAAAAAAAATATCCTGCAAGGAACCAAACGGTTACCTAACGGTCGTAATCAAAGTGAAAAGAAAAATCACGTCTGGGAATACAAAACAACGGAGCATTAAAATTACCCGGAAGCAGACGCCGTTATACGCCAGGGCGACGGTGGTCGTCGGAGCCTCGAAAAATGTGCGAAAAAAAACGAGGATCTCTGGGTGTTTTTTTTCGTCGAGGAAGGGGTTGCGTTCCCCCTCCCCTGTTTTGATTTTGTTTTCCGCGCGTCCCTTCGAACAGGAATCCTGCATAATTTCCGTCGTGGCTGAATCGGAAGACTCGTAAAGGAATGTGAAAAAAAAAAAAGGACGCGGCAGGAAGACAAAGAGGTCGATGGGACCTGGCGAATATAAAAAAAAGAACAAAATGGAGACGCGTGATGGGGCGCAGGAAAGGGTTGAAGATCGCTTTGCATACTCCTGGCGGCGGAAGAAAAGCGACAAACAGACGGAAGCGCGAAAAAAATGTTCACGTAGGTAATAGGGAGGGGGTATGGCTGAATTAGGGGTAAAATTTCTTTCTTGGCGATGCAACGGCACTCTGAGCATTTTTTTATGATATACTATATCACGTAGCCCGTAAAGAAGGACAAACCTCTCCGTGAGTCTAAAAACAAACATGCACTTCGGAACGGCCAAAATCAACAGAGGCAGCCCTCAGAACCCGTGCAGCAACAATCGTTGCAATCAAAATCTTACCTCCCCCCCCCCTCTCTCTCTCTCTCCCTATTCTTTAAAATCGCGAAACAAAGGCTGCAAACCGACGTCTCTTGGCATCGTGACGAGACGCATGGTGCTACGAAGCTCTTCCGACGTCCTCGAATCGGATTGACCGGTCGGGGGGTACATAGGGGCGCAGGGGAGGGTGCAAGGATGCCGAGGACACTTCCGTGGGCCCTGGGCGCGAGGATCAGCCGGTTTCTTTTTCTTCTTTTATTTTTTTGTCTAGGACCCGCGGAGAGGGCCTCGGGCGAAAAAACAAGGAGCCACGACAATGACGGGACGATTTAAATAATCCGCGGCATGCAAATGCCGTGGAGATTCTCACGGAACGGGCGACGTGAGTCGCGGGGTGGGGGGAGGGTGGAAAGAAAAAAAGGAAGAAGGACGTCGGAAGACAATCGGGCAATCTGCATACGACTCATACGGGTAGCTCCCAACCCTTCCCCGAGTGTTTCAGGGATGATCGACGGCGGCGCGGAAGAATCTCTAATTGAGGGTTGAGGTCGCCGTCGTTTGTTCTTCTAGCTGAAAGGCTGCTGGTAGCACCCGGCTAGACTCGGTGAAAAAATTGTTCCGGTTGGAAATAGGAGGCTGGATATCGCTTATAAAAGCGTTTGTTTAGTGGGTATATTGTTAAATAAATAGAGTAGATTAAGGTTTTGGAAAAGATTGTTCCTTTTTAGTTGAGAGGATAGTTTAGTGTCGAGCGTCAGTTTTCGGTTATTTTGGGGGATTCTTGTTGTTTAAATTTGCAAGAATTTTTTGTCTGAAGTATTGCATACATATTCATTGATATTTGAAGAATATTCATATGCACAAATCATACCATACGTATACTAATTTTATTCCTTTTGCAATTTAAATATCAATTATATATGAATAAAAACTCGTATTAGTGTCATTCAAACTGTGTGCGAGGAACGAAATGAAGGCCTGAAAAAAAGCCCAAGTAGAGCAATGGTCCTCGAACTAGCGCAAGGCCATCCAGGACGAAACAGGGGGATTGAAGAGGAAGAACCGGCACGGTGCCCCTGTAAACACGTTTTCAGATGTTGTAATCTGTCGCCGGTTTCGCCCAGCGGGTGGTCAACCCTTTTTCCATGCTTTTTTACGCCTGCCCGACCTTAATCCCTTAAAACGCTTAGAGCAGCTCTTTAGGGTAATTTTCCACGATGGAGGGGCGGTATCCCGATTCATCCCCGTAGGTGAAGATGCAAAACACCTTGGAAAACACCGGCCCGAAGCGACTAACTGGAATACACCCCGTTGCCGCGTGAGACTCCGGGCAAGGAGGAGGCCCACCCTACGAAGATTATGCAAAGGAAGACTTTTTCCACCCCTTTGGCTCCGGTTCTGCTCTCCCTTTGCCACGGTACCACGGGGACGAAAATTAAAATAATGGCCCTCCGCGCACCCTGCTGCCAATTTTTTTCCCTCTTTCTCTCGCCTCTCTTTCTCTCTCCCTTTCTACGCCCCTCCCCGCCGACCCTCTTTTTCCACGATCAACTTTTTTCTGCGCTTTTTTTTCCCTCTTCTTCCCGTGGATGCAAATCGTGCAACGGCATTTTTGTCTCTGCGCGACGTGAGACAAAAAAAAAAGAGGAGAGGAGAACGCGAATGGGTACAGGGTTAGAAGGTCATTGTCTAGGCTCGTCACGGGGGTAAGCTGATCACCGCGCGAGGCAACCCCTTCGACCGTTTCTCGATCTGGATCGGCTAATGAATTTCTACTCTCAACGTATCGCGACGAGGCTATCGCCAAAGGTGTAACAGGGGGCATTGGTGACCTTTTTTTTTTTTTGGGTCAATTTTTTTCCACGCGTAACATTGTGTGTTTAGGGGTGGTTGACGGTTGTCCCGATTGAACGCGAATGATTTTTTTTTCTGCTTTTGGCGCTTGGCAGTTAACTTTCGTTCGGGGCAGATTTCTTGGGGGGATGCTTGTTGGTAAGCTCTTTTTCAATTTGGAGCTTTGTGCGAGTCTAGAATTGCGTGACTCGTTTAATGTATAGGGAATTGTTTTTTTTTTTTTTTTTTTTTTTTGTTATTGTAATGAGATTTGGGAAATATTTCACGGTTTATATTTCATATAGCATATTTCACGTCGTTAAAAATCTGAATATTCTTTTAATATAATTTCTATTTCTTGTTTAAATTCAACCAAGTAATAGAGGATGTCTTGAAAATTGTAGCGCGCCTTTTCTCTCTGTTAATTCTCTGCTTAATTAACAAGTCATCTCAAATGCCAGAAAATGGCTATCCAATCCAGACAAGCTCCTGAAAATTTAAATATCTTTCTCCCCTTAACTCTTTGACTGCAAAAGGCGTGTACATACCTTATATACCAAGAATTCGATTCTCGATCCGAATCCAACATCGATTCGTGAAACTTGCATCCCAGACGGATTATTTCCCTTACGGGGGTGAAAGTAGTCGCGCGATTCGATGCTCGCCGGGGTGGAAACGCAGCCTGCAGCGTTTTGCATCTCATACTTGCGCGCCATCAGGGTGAGGTTGGGGGGAGGGGGAGAAAACGAAGAAACTAAATGGAGAAATCGACGAGAAATCGTTCCACCTCGATAGATACGCCGACGAAAGGATCGCGGGGTGAAAAGCGCGGGAAAAGAGCCATAACTCTGTCCTGGGCCTAAATGTTGTGACACCGTCGCCGTGAAGGGGTTGCTTTGATGCGAGTCGACCATTGTCTCTGCGTCCATTCACGATTGTCAGGTCTCTGGCGGTGTCCGCGGGGGGGTTGTTTCTCTCGAGGGGTGTCGTAATGGAGAAATTGGAAAGTGTGAAATTTTTGGGGGTCTGGAAAATGACTGTTCATGCGACGAGTAGGACATCTTGATGGAAGGTGGTCTGGGTAAAACATTTTCTGTACATGGATAAATTCTTTTGTTTAAGGGACAGTTGAAGTAAGTTTATTTGAAATAAGACATGAAGTTACAGTGGATACAAAAACGATCCAAAAATGATCCTTCCGATTCTTTCTTTCCCGCAACAACTAAATTTTCACATCCGACTGAATGCTCAGCTTACCAAAAATTACTATCGATTTAATCTACGATTCTACCCTCAGTATCTCCAACTTGCAAACAACTCCATAGAATCTTTCTCGCCACGAAATTGCACCCTGAAAATCATCCCTCCTGGCTAAATTCCTAGACGACACCCTGGTAAACCGAATAATTATGATGGATGACGCGAGAAATTCGTCCAAGTCACGTACGACGCCGTCCTGGACGCGTCGTTCCCATATCACCGATGCAGAAATTCAAATTCGTCGTCATTAATAAAAATTAAAGAGACATCAGAAGGAGAGGGATGGTTGCGGGTCGGCCCTCGGGTCGGTGGACCTTTATCTTACCTGGGGCCCACAATAGCGTGAGACTATGGGCCCTTTGTACTCCACTTTTACGACGATCTGCATACGCACCCCTTTCGCGCCGGCACCCCTTTGCCACCGACAACTTTTTCCTCTCCACGAGGATTCTTTCGGGGACGCTCGTAATCTCCGGAAGAAACGTTCCGTGCGGCGTCTTTCATTGGCGCTGACTTCCGTTTTTTCATCTGTTTCGCCTAACGGCGCTTACAGCGGGATTCTTGGTCACGTCTTCGGGGTTAACGGTTGCGGGACGTCAACGGACCCAGCTTTGTTCTTCCCGACGAATTCTTTTACTGTTCTTTAGAACCGAGATGGGGGATAAATTTTTATTTTTAAAAGTTGCATCGAGTTGTACTGTAATATCTGTGACTGTTACTTTTTCATTAAATTCGAGCAATATGTCTATTAGGTTTGATTAGGTGTGTCCTGGAGTGATTGGAAGAAGGATTTGAAGGATATAGATAGTTGAGAGGTTTTGAACAGTGCAAGTGTAGTTTACTTCGAAATTTTATGTGTTTAAAATTTAAATGAAAAAATAGGAAAGAGTTCGAGTGACATGAATAATTTTGGTGAATAAG